CTGGAATTTATGATTTTTTTCACATAGAAAAAGGACACACGTATTAAATCACGTCTGCGCTTCGCCGAATCGCCGATTAATTTGGGATCACATGGCTACTTTAAACGGTTCCATTAAGCCCTTAGCCCAAAAGAGCGCACATTTACAAAGATAAATTCTCACGTTCACGCCTCACTTCTTTACAGAGGATGATTCTATATTATATTAATGTTCCACTAAATTAGTCTGAAGAGTTTTGAGCGCTCTCTCCCGTCCAAAGACTATAGAATAGCCTACCCTAATATCATACAGGGCTTGTCCCGTCTCACTACCTCCACACAAAGTGGAGCAGAAATTTCATCAAAACGATTTAAAAAAATAAAAATAGCCATTTACAGGGTTCGTACGGTCATGAAAAACCCAGAAAGCTTTGGAAAAGTCATGGAAATTTATTTTACAAATCTCTATATAATAGAACATATGTTTAATCATGTCCCGAATCTCGGTGCGGGATTGCGCATTTTGGTTTTACTCATTTTCGCAGATTTCGCACGTTTGGAAAATTCCGGCAAACATTTATTTAATATACAATGTAGGTTAGATGAGTTAAAAAAATTCACACAGAATATCAGATTAAGTCAGTCATTTGAAAACCGCGTGAGTGGTTCAGCTGTACCGCGTCTTCTCGCTCTCACTCTCAAAATTGCCTCACATCAGCACATCTCGTCTGCACTAAGAGAGATGATGCACGCTGCATACAAGACTTTAGCTCAGCTGACAGAACTGTCACTTGCCTAATCGGGTCAGTGTTGTATCATCACAAAAGTTTATCATTTGCACGTCTTTTTAAGTCGTTTTAAACCATTCGGTTCTTGCGCGCTCCAAACTAGTTTTCTGGGCGCTCACGGTCACATCCAAAGCATGCGCACATGAAGCAAACACCTCCAGAAAAAGTTATTGTTTTCATTGTTTCTGACTCAAGTAACCTTGCATTTTAATAAATAATGTTACATAAGGACAATTCAAGTTATTAAACGGTCAGTAATAAATGAACAAGTTACTAGCAATAGCACAAGCATACAAATGAAACAAACTGTGTTTTAACTTTTTCAGGTCTAGCCTAAAACTAACAGTAGCTGCTACTCAGGAACAAAATACTATGATGTATAAAGTCATAGATATAGATTATATTTATATATTAATCCATATTAAATATGAAAAAGTTATTTAGTCAAGAGCAGATTTAAAAATTTTTTTTTATTTTGTTCTTTAACACAGACTGACAGACAGCAGGTATA